ACAAAAACTCCACCAAGTCCACGAACCCCAAATTGTCACTATCGACTTGCTAAAGAAGCAATTGCCATCACCACTGGATGCCCCGAGAGGAAGTTGGAGAGGCGCCAAGGTAGGTTTGTCGCGCCGAATGGTAGTTCACGAATAGAGCGGCAACGACATAGCTAAAATGCGTCCTGACGTAGTTCGGACACTACTTGCGTGAACATCGCAACTCAAACACAACCACAACCTTCACCATGCTCAAGTTCACACCTCGATGCACCCAATCGTGCAAAAACATAGGTGTGTCGCTTAACCAATTTTGTCGGAATTCAAATGCCAAAATGGCATTGCCTATGGCCATTTCAGACTTAGAAAATTTAAAGGCTTGGTTAGAACTAGCAACCACTAGCATTCTTGTCATGATTTTTAAAAGGTCTAAACTTTATTAACCTTAACCAACACCTACTTCACGCAATAGTCCATACTTTATACCAACCCGTAGGAGTAAGATATTTAAGCACTATTTTACTATTTTGCTCAATGTAATTCACCAAAATGGTACTTTAAACATAAACTCAAGTGTTTGCCGACTTAACCAAAAGAGCTTATCTTAACGTCAAGTTTGATTTTAGAGCTCCCAAAACACTAGTTAACAATATCTATTTTCTAAAAGTTAAAGTTGCATTGTCATCTACCAAGTTTGTACTTCCAACTTTATTTAAGTGTCACATACATGTCCTATAGTATTTTTGCTTAATAAAAATTGGTTTTAAACCTTAAGTGATATAATATGACTATTGAATCAACTTTCGTTTACCATTTTTGTTGATCGTTTTGAGTTACAAAAATTAATCTACACACTTTATCACATGCATCGACACATAAACATGATGCTCATGACATAGTTTAGCAAGTTGTTTAAGCGGTAACACCGAGGGTGTTACATCCTGCTCTAGGGCCTCGTTCCACAGCGTGAAAATGGTGATGTTGTGCTTCCCGGTGGCATCCTCCAGCGTCTGCAGGAGCAGGGCCTTTTCCACCAGCTCCGCTAGCTCTGTGCAGTGCTGAGTCCAGTAGCACCACCAGCATAGAGTTGGAGTCGCCCCCAATCGCTGCCGTGTTGGCGAGCCAACAAAGCCGGAGCCGGCGGCGGACAATGTGGATTCCTGCGGCGCCGTCTCCTCGGCCGCCGCCCCTTCCCCCACCAGGAGCAGGAGGAACAAGTAAGAATGGCAGCGGATCGGGTTTGGGGCGGATATCCGCGGTTTTGGGTCCACGGTTTTCGGTTTCGGTTCCTGGTTTTCACCCATGGATTTGCGGGTTCGGATACCCGAAATACCGCGGTTTTGGGGCGGATCTTTAAATTGACCCGTAGAGCTCCATCGGGGCCCGAAATTTTCAGCCCACCAGAAGCCCACCTAGGAAGCCTAAGTATATAAGCGTGGAATCGTTCAGCCCTCACCCCTTAGCCCTCATCCGCATCCACCCAGGCGCCGCAGCCGCACAACCGCATCCACCCGACGGGACGACGGGCGACGGCGGCTCGTTCCTTCCCGCCGCGGCCGCCTGCAGTAACCGGTAGTATATCTCGATCTGCGTCGCATCTCGGCCGCTTTGCTAGCGTCGCGCGTCCTCGTTTACCCGGTAGCAGCGTGGGGCTCTGCGCTTTGGATCTCGATGCGCGCGCGTGCTGCCGCGATCGCGATGCCATGTGTGCGCGACCACACTTCAAGCAAGCAGCGCGCGCCAGCGGCCGGCGGGCGTGTGGGCGTCAGGCTCGTTGGGCTCTGCTCCGCCACCGCGAAGCGTGCAGCACGCAGCTTTCGCTTCGCCGTCGGCACGCGAGAACGCCTCGACACACTGTTGGTTGTCGCGTCGTCGCGCGAAGGCACTCTCGCCCCCATGCCTACCAAATTGGACGGTAAATAAACATATAACTACTTGTAGACTTGTAGTAGTACACCAATCTAGGAGTGGTGTTCTCATGCCCAATTATTCCTTTGCCGTGTGTCCGTGTCCAATCAAATCGTGGCTCTGCGTTCCGTAGATCTTTAATTGCAATATCCTCGGGTTTTGGTTAATCCATCGGGTTTTGGGGATCCGCGGGTTTTGATTTCGGGGATGGATTTTCACCCGAATCGATTTTCGGGGCGGATTCGGGTTTCAGGTTCGGGTTTCGGTTTTGGGTGCCCAGACACTCCACCCGATCCGAACCCGCCCCGTTGCCATCCTTAGGAACAAGACGAGGGCACCATGCAACGGCGTGCCGCGTGCCCATGCCTGCGTTCGCGGCCTCTGCTCCCTGCGGATTGCTCTACCTCCTCCTCCTCCTCCTCCTTCTCTTGCTCCCGGCTTGCCAGTGGGCCCAAAAGTCATGTCGCCAAAACCAGCCAGCATGGATTGCCACGTGAGCAAAACCACCTCCCAATATCACCGTAGGGGGTTATTTGTCCGGTTTTACAAAGTTTAGTGTGCATAATAATTGATTTTATAGTTCATGGGATTATGTAGACCACCCTGAATACGTTAGGGAGTCAGACTTTCTCCATTATATCTATATCTAAATTTACTTTATTGGAATATTGGATTTCGCTGAAATCATCGTGGAAGGTCGGTGTGTCTGATACTGCAATGGGTTGTGTGATCAACTTTTTTTTACGTGAATGAATTGCATTTCTTCCTTGATTCATCAGCTGATCAGCATATTGGCCTGAGTCTAATACGGATTTAGCCTGGCATGTACGTTGCAACCTCTGCACACTAAATTTTACTGACGGGTTGCACAGTTACCCTACCAAAAAATGCATGTAATTTCAGAACAAAGATAAGTTGATGTGGTGTTCGACTGTAACTACACAAAGCGACTTGTCATGTGCATCTCTTGAGAAGTTGGGCCCTTTTTCTTGACCTTTTTTTAGATAGGGGCCCTTTTTCTTGACTACACATATCAAACCTAGGTATATTTTTTTCTTTTGCCTTTTATTTAGAATATATGTGGTGAACCCTCAAACGTACCCTTTTTTTTGTAAAATTGAAATTCTGCCCGTTAAATCTTTAGGTATCCACCAAGACCAAGTTGAATGCTTGCAAATAAGATTAAAATAGTGGGTCCACACTGGTATTTTCAGTTTTTTTACGATTATGGTAGCTATCACAAAACCATTGCCACACTATAATTTAGAAAGTTAACTAATCAATGGCTAGTTCGTAGTTTAATGTCAACATTGTTATCCTACGTACCTTTTATACACATCTCCACTTGAAATATCTAGGAGTATTTTCTAGTAAACTATGTCCTCCTGTCCAACTTTTGTCATACAAATTGTGCATGGCATATCAATAACCATTTTTTGCAAGGCAGTACGACATTTAATGTGTAGAGTGGAAACCTGAGGCTAGACATGCCACTAGTCAAAACCCCTAGATTACGAACCTTTCTTTGCAAATAATCATTTGAATCCCTTGAAGTATTCAGCTATTTATCAATAACCTTAATGGGCAAGTGGTTACTGGTGCATAAAGCAAACTTAATTTCTTTTTTCTCGCCCAAGATAACCTTTTATGTGGTGGTATCGCCTGAGTTTTGTAACTCCCTTAATATGACCTAGAACTCTATAAAATCCAAATGGATAGACCATGTGCAAGCTTTTATCATAATCAAGAGCACTACATTAAGAGTGCGTTTGTTAGGGATTCAATTTTTCTAATAATGTTTTAGATCTAGATTCTTACTAGAAATGTCTCTCGGCTGAATTGGAATTTCTTCGGGTAAATGTTTGGCTAGCTCGTTGGATTCTTGAAACTAGAATTAGAATCAAGAAAAATAAGGTTTTAGGTGTTTCTTTGGACTAGTAAGAAAAAAAAAGTCAGGGTCCAAGTGACTCCCTAAAACGTTTGTCTTTTTTTTTGGTGTTTGGCAACGATTCTTGTGATTCTATCGAGAATCTGAAACATTTATAGCTGCCAAACACACCCTAAATATAGCGTTGAGAAGAGAATACATAGCATCTCCGATCCTTACATGTAAGCTAGCTCTAAGTATATTATTTTATATTTTAATAGAAGAAAGAAAAATCTATTTTTTTTATCAAGAGCTAGTCTCAAGCGCACACATTCTAAGATTATGGGAATTTGTTATTTGAGGCATTCACGTTATAAGCTACAAAACATACATTAAAAATTAATATTAGTAGAATAACTATTCCTATTATTGAATTGAAAAAAAAACCGAAGATAGAACACAATCGCAAGCCCAACTGAAAACTAGTTCGGCAAATGCAACACCTTCTAAGAGAGAAAACATACATTATGCGATTAGTCAAATGGTGATGTATGTGCTACCTCTGAGTATATTATTGTATATTTTTAATAAAAAAGAGAGAAAATCTATCTTGATTAAGAGATAGTCTCATGCGCACGTCATCTAAGCATATGAAGTTGTTACGTGAGACTATTCCTATTGTGAGCTAAAAAACATGTGTTATTAAAAATTAATATTACCGAAAACATTATCTTAAAACTAATAACTACTCGTATTGGTGAGACTTGAGAGTGAAGGAGAGAACACAATTGCAAGCCCAACTGAAAAACTAGTTCGGCAAATGCAACGGTGAATCACGTGTCAGAACTCAGAAGGGGAATAGACCGTCGGGGTCCCTCTCTGTTCTCCCTCTCTGTTCTACTGGCGCTCCGCCGCATCGAGCCCATAATATCGTGGCCGTCTATCCCACACTTGCCCTTCATCCCAGCCGTCCACCAGCGCACCGTCCTTGCCCCGCAAGCCTCCGCACGAGGACTGGAACTTTCGACGGGTCCAAAACCTCAATCTCTCTCTCTCTCTCCTCTCCCTTTCTCTCTCCTCCGCCTCCCCCCTCGCGATCTCCACCTCCCTCCCCCACCACCCCCGTAACCCACTTCCGGGTGGGCCCCAACATCGCCGCCGGCGACCCGCACCTCCCTCCTCCCTCCCTCCCTCGCTACCCGCCTCGCCGCCCCGCGCCGCCCGCGTCCCACCGGACATGACGACCTCGCCGCCGCCCGCCGAGGTAAGCGTGTGCGTGGGGGAGATATCCCCCGCCTCGGCCTCCGTTCATTTCCCAACTCCTCCCGCGGGACCTGCCCGCCGCATCGGTCCGCGATGCCGCGCGCATCCCGGCCGTCTGGCGGGTCGGGCGCCCTTGCCCCTAGGGCTCTGGGGTCGGTTTACGGGTCGGAGTTCTGGCGTGGCGTGTAGGGCTCGCCGTGCCACCGCGCGCGCGTACGGAATTCTAGGGTTTGGGGTTTTGATGGCTCCGCCTAACGTTGGAGCAATGGATCTGAGATTGTGCCTCTCATGTTTTTTTCTCGCAGCAACAACAGCAGGAGGAAGAGGAGGTGCTGGTGCCGCACGGCCCGCAACAGGAGCTGCCCAATGGAGCGCAGCCAATGGAAGGTCTGGTTGGCCCATCTTGTCTAGCGATTAGTTCAGTGGGCTCATGTTAGTTGATGTTCTGTGACGTGTGGTGTGTAGATACTCAGACCAGCTGCCTAGATAGGCTGCATTTGCTGTCTCCTATTTGCTACGATATTTTATCAGCTTGATGTCCGTGTGTGGTGTTGCTGTTGATTATTTTTTATTCTTTTGCGCAAATGGCGCCATTGTAAGTGCTGTGTCCAGAGTTATCGCTGTATAACACACATCATGATTGTTTATTTGCTTGTTCTATGATTTGGTATTGCTATTCTGTATGGAGCTATCACCTCTTATGTAGTCTGTTCATTTTGTTATGCATTCATTTGTAGCTTAGATTAGATATTGTATATGTGGGTGTTACTAGATTATTATTGTTATACTTCGAGGTGTTAAGTTCGGTTAAAGCTGGATAGAGTGTGCGTGCCCACTCATTTGATGTCTTTATGTTGATGGAAGTTTTTTTTAACTGTCATACAGTAATTGCAGGATTGACCGTAGTTGTGTTTTCATATGCAAAACGACATTGACATGAGAACTTCTCTAAGCGTGGGGGTGCATTTTTGGTTACTATTTGCAGTAGGTTAGAGATGCATCTGCTTTTTCTGTACAAAACGATTTTGAGCATTTATGCACCATAGATAGACTTGGACTCTTTTGTTGTTTTCTTTGCTGCTTTTGTCATGTGACCTAGCATTTGAGTTTATCAGCTATTTATGATTTCTTCTTTTGATCGTGCCAGTTGTGCCTGCTGAGCCAGCTGCTACTGTGGAAAACCAACAGATAGAGGATCCACCAATCTCGAGATTTACTTGGACCATTGAGAATCTATCAAGAGTTAGCACGAAAAAGCTCTACTCCGAAATTTTTGTTGTTGGAGGCTACAAGTGGTAAGTGCCTATTGCTTTCCATTTTACTCTTAGTATCTCTATTTAATTTTACCTTTTTTTGGTATTGGTAATTGATGTAGTATTTTCTGTTTTGCAGGCGAATTTTGATTTTCCCTCGGGGAAATAATGTTGAATTCTTATCTATGTATTTGGATGTAGCTGATTCTGGAGTCTTGCCCTATGGATGGACTAGATATGCACAATTCAGCCTCTCCGTGGTTAATCAGATTCACAACAAGTTCACAATAAGAAAAGGTCCATCCTTTTATCATGCCCTTGTTTTTCAACGTAGCACATGTCTTGATTGGATTCTATACTATGAGGTTTCAGTAACAAACTTAGGTGTCTGACTTTTAATTCTCGCAGAAACACAACATCAGTTCTCTGCTCGAGAAAGTGATTGGGGTTTCACTTCATTTATGCCGTTGGGTGAACTCTACAACCCCAGTAGAGGTTATCTTGTAAATGATACTTGTATAGTGGAAGCTGAAGTTGCCGTTTGTAAAGTTGTTGACTATTGGAGTTATGACTCTAAAAAGGAAACTGGCTATGTTGGTCTTAAAAATCAGGGTGCTACCTGCTATATGAATTCTCTTCTTCAGACGCTGTACCACATTCCGTATTTCAGAAAGGTACAAACGAGAAAATCACATGTCATTGCTCCTCTGCTCAACCTGCTTGGATAGATACAGCTAACTACAGATGTCTCTTGCCAGGCTGTTTATCACATGCCCACCACCGAGAATGATATGCCCTCGGGAAGCATCCCGTTAGCTCTACAGTCACTCTTTTATAAGTTGCAGTATAATGACAGCAGTGTCTCTACAAAGGAGCTCACAAAATCATTCGGGTGGGACATGCATGATTCATTTATGCAACATGATGTTCAAGAATTGAACAGAGTTCTTTCTGAGAAGTTGGAAGATAAGATGAAGGTTTGACGTCTGTAAGGTCTTTCCTTTTTATGTCCTCCGGTGTTGTTTACTGAACCGTTGTAGCTCTGACTGAATTATGCTTGTAAAATGTTGATTCAAGGGAACTGTTGTGGAGGGCACAATACAACAATTGTTTGAAGGGCACCACATGAACTACATTGAGTGTATCAATGTGGATTTCAAATCAACAAGAAAGGAATCCTTCTATGGCAAGTGATGATGTTGTTTCCACATGTAGCAAAGTTTAAACTTGACTGTTGTTTAACCTAGTTGTATATATATTTCTAATGCAGATCTCCAGCTTGATGTCAAAGGTTGTCAGGATGTCTACGCTTCATTTGATAAGTACGTAGAAGTGGAGCGTCTGGAAGGTGACAACAAGTATCATGCCGACAAGCATGGCCTGCAGGTTAGTATTATGGATCTTATGGTAGTTAAGCCTCTTTCTCTTAGGCAGCATGACCGTATAATCACAGGGCCATTGAAAAATATCAAGCTGAATCTAACCAAGCTCGCATTTATTTAACAGTTAGTACCTGAATAGAATCGCTGAGATGAGGACAAACTTTTTTCTTAAAGCAACTCAGGGAATGCTACTCAATACCACAATTCATTCAAATGATGTTTATACAGTTTGTGCTAGGATGCATCTCAGGTGTAAAAGGGTACATTAAAAGTGCTAAATTATTTACCAAACAGTTAAGTGAAGCGTAAAGGTCATATTGTGCATCCTCAAAGTTCGAACTTTCTAACATTTCAAGGCAATCATAACATGACATACAACATTATCCAGAGTGGGTAGATTTGTGGGGTAGTGTAATCATAGCACATGCTCGTACTTGTTTCTCATCTTGTTGATTTGAGACTTTATGATGCTACTGATCGGACCTTAGGGCCCTCTGAGGTCTCAGCACTTGTTTCCATAATTTTACTGTGTGTATGCACACAAACTCCTTAAGAACCCAGGAATTAGCAAATAAATCCACGCTGTAAAAAACTCACCAACCTAAGAGTTACTGGGTGGCATTGTGAATGAATAGACACCCAAATTTCAGTCTGTGGACTCAAACCTGGTGGTGGCTATGTACACCTAGAACCTTCCACCAACTGACCTAGGCTCGGTTCCTAAAGTAATCCACCCTTATCTACCAGCTTAAATCAATATATAATAAATTGAGCTGCTGCTTATGGCATCCCACAAATATCTGACAAGTGGCAACCAAAAAACCTGATTTATCATTTCACTGTATGTTTTTTTACAGAAATTCTGTTGTTTCAGGATGCGAAGAAAGGAGTTCTTTTTATCGACTTCCCTCCTGTTCTGCAACTTCAGCTAAAACGTTTTGAATATGATTTCATGCGTGACACGATGGTGAAGGTTCGTATCAGTGCACTAAATAGTTTTCCTTTTCTTCCATCAATTAATTTGCTTTTCAGGATTTCAGAAGCTCTTTAGGCATGATAATACATGACTATGTATTCATAGCTTAAGCAGAAATCTTAGAGGTGCTTAACATAAACAGAAATACTGCATAATGCGGGCATTGGGTTCATTCTGTTTTGGTTTATCTGGTGTGAATGGTGTCATCCGGACTTGGCACCGTTTGTTGGTAGTTCTCGATGATTACTTTGATTCCCATGTACTGGATGAAGCAATGTTAAATTATTTTGGTCAAGTCAAATATAGGCTGCCATAAATTATTGTGATAATGCGTTGCACTGCTACCCTGGGTAAATGGGTCAATGATATCTTCTAGGGCGATGGAAAAAAAATATTTTAGTAAATGTTAGCTGGAAAATCTGTGCTGATTAAATACTAACCCATGCATCTGGCTGTTACATTTGGAATTCACAGTAACCATATGGAAAAGCCTAGCATTTCTATCTTTTGTTTCCTTTGAAATAATAATTTTGGTGATTTGTCAAAGCATCTCCAATAGTTCCCAAAAAACAATTGGTAAATCAATGAGTTTTCCAAGTGGATAAAAAAGTTTGGAGCACATTTGTTGGGTTCCTCCAACCGTTTCTAAAATCTCGCTCCTAAAAGATAGAAGGCAATTTTACATCAGGAATCCTGGACTATTTTCAAATCGCCCCAACCACTTTTATACTTTCTATCTCTCTTGTACCTTTGCATTGGGAACCCTATCCTACTCCTTATTCTTCTCCACGTCCTTCCACCTCCAGATTGGCTGATTGGCATGCACGTGTATATTTCCACGTGATTGGATCGATTGTTTCAAGTTTAAAGATTGGGAGTTGAGATAAGGAGTTGTTGGAGAGCGGGGTTTTTTTTCAACCTTGCCAAAAAAAAAGATTTTGAAAGCTTGGGATATACCTAGAGATCTATGTTTGAATAGGAGTACTTGGAAAGCAGCTATTGAAGTGCCTTAACCATGACTTGGGGCTCTTGGTGGGTTTCAACTCTAGCCTACCCCAACTTGCTTGGGACTGAAAGGCTATGTTGTTGTTGTTGTTGTTGTGTTGTTGCCAAAAAAATCAAGATTGGGTGTGGGTTTGGAAACTCTTGGAGATGCTCCCATTTTGGTCCTGTGTACCACTGTTTAGATGATATTAACAAGTGTGTGCGCTTGAAAATGAAGTTGCAATAACATGACTTCATTCGAAAGCTGACCTTTTTAGATAATGCATCTTCAAATTTATGTTTATATGCATTAAGTTTTCAAATTGCATTTTTCACATTTCAAACATCAGTAAAGCCTTTTTGTCACAAGCAAGCTGAGTAGACTTGAGATTAGACCCAACAAGCAAGCTGAGTAGGCTCGATTAGACCCAACAAGAGCAAACACTAAAAGAGGAGGATAAAAGGCTCTTAAAATCATATTCACATAAAACGGGTTCCAAGGCATTGACCCTCAACCCGGGTTTGTTGACCCCGACCCAGATTCACGGGTTCATTTTCGACCCAGTGTAAAAATCTCTCGCAAGTAGCGTACCACGTTCTGCGACCCCGTACCTCGACCCCATCGACCCGGAAACTTTATGATATGCAAAGAATTTCAGGTCATGGAAGTTAAAGAAGTATATGCTAAAATCTGATTACAGTGCGAAAAAAGTTTTATGCTCATATATAATTTGTAATATCCTACACTCGCCAGATATACATTTTTCTTCTTTTTTCTGTTCTTTTCATGTGAAAGTATTACTCATCTTGGGCTTGCATAAACAAAATGTGTTTATATGCAACAAAGTTCCTAAAGTTTTTTGCTTTATTGTGACCATGTGACGTTTATCCTTCTATATTTTATTTAGTTTTTAGCATGTTAAGGTACTTACCGTCCGTTGTGAACCACAGATAAATGATCGCTATGAATTCCCACTTCAATTGGATCTTGATAGAGATGATGGAAAATATTTATCTCCTGATGCTGACAGGAATGTGCGTAATCTTTATACCCTTCACAGGTTAGTAAGTTTTCTGTTTACTTACATGCATTAAGACTTCAAATCTCAGTGGTTAGAGATGCCAAGCATTGATATACTGACTATCTGTTTCTAGAAGTGATGTTTGTGAATTTCTGGCCTTACGATATGGCCTGTCCCTGGACTCTGATAATCACAAATGAGATGATGCTGACATAGAACATAGTTATTATTATGTGTTGCTTGGATGTATCTTGTCTGATGTTAATATTTTTGCTATTCAAGCAATAAAATGTGTTGTTGATTAGATAAACAGACATGGTTACAGAGGAGGAGGGGGGGGGGATTTATGGTGATGCATTCTGTTAATAATTATATCAGTGCAGCTCATAACGATTACTCTTACAGTGTTCTTGTCCATAGCGGTGGTGTTCATGGTGGACATTATTATGCTTTCATACGACCTACCCTTTCTGATCAATGGTATGCCTGCTTCATCTTAGAAACATCTTGCACATACTTCTTTGATGACTAGTTCATTTGATCATGTCGAGTATTCACTGGAGCAAAAAATTCCCAGGTTCAAGTTTGATGATGAGCGTGTGACAAAAGAAGATTCAAAGAGGGCACTGGAAGAGCAATATGGTGGTGAGGAGGAGGTATGTTTCAATTTATAAGGCTACAATTATTGTCTTCGGTATCTTACAAACATCAAACTTATCAATTCCGTTTTGCAGCTACCTCAGACAAATCCTGGCTTGAACAACACTCCCTTCAAGTTTACTAAATATTCAAATGCATACATGCTTGTGTACATTCGTGAAAGTGACAAGGACAAAATTATCTGCAATGTGGATGAGAAAGATATAGCAGAGCATCTTTGGGTAAATTGTCCCCTACGATTTGAGTTTCACTGTGTCTTCTTTTGTTGGCTCTAATACTTAAATCTGCTCTCAGATTAGACTGGAAAAGGACCGTGAAGAGAAGGAACGCCGGAAGAAGGAAAAAGCTGAGGCACACCTCTATACCATAATCAAGGTGTCTCAGTCAATCTTCTGTGCATAGAGCATGAATTGTCATAGCTTCAGCATCTTTTTTTTGTTTTGTTTTGTTATCTTACACCCCTGTTATATAGGTTGCAAGGGATGATGACTTAAAAACTCAGATAGGGAAAGACATATATTTTGATCTTGTTGATCATGATAAAGTCCCAAGCTTCCGTATCCAAAAGCAGATGACCTTTGCTCAGTTCAAGGTAATTACATGATGTGAGGGTGTATCTTAGCATGTCTATCAAAGGAATATGATATATCTTCAATCTGCTGGCTGTTACTCAAGGACTCAAGTAGGTTTACCAGTGTCACATGTTACTGTTAAAAGCACATTTGAGTTTATCTCAGGCAGACCAACTGCCTGTTCATAGTTCACTAAAAGAATTTAAGTGCTCATAAGCTTTAAATGGTGCAATAATAGATTACCTTAAAGTAATGTGTTTTGTTGCCCCTTTTCACACCTTAGGAGTTAGGGTTTGTTTGCTGCACTCGTACTCACCTCAATCCACGTGTAGGAGTGGATTGAAGTGGAAATTAGTTAATTTTCCACCCCAATACACTCCAAGACATGTGGATTGAGGTGAATATGAGTGTAGCCAAACAAGGCCTTAAGGAATCATTTGATGGTTGATCTAATAAGAAATTTTCATTGTTTATAGGATATAGGATAGAATTTCATAGTTGCCATACTGATTACTCATCCATGAAGTGCTTTACAGGAGGAGGTAGCAAAAGAGTTTGGCATTCCTACACAGTTTCAACGATTTTGGCTGTGGGCCAAGCGGCAAAACCATACTTACCGACCTAACAGGCCATTGTCTCCTCAAGACGAAGCACATACTGTAAGATGATTTCGTTACACATTGAGTTGGACAAAACACAAAAGGATGCCTTGGCAATCATTCCTTTCTAGCTTTTTTTTTTTGTATGTTGTGCTGCACTCTCAGGGGAGCATTTTAATTTACAGAATACCCACCACAAACACAAAAGAAAGAAAGAGTCTGTTACCCTGTTTTTAGGCCATCTGTGTCGTGCTTGGAAAGCTGCATGATGCACACTAATTTTACAAATGTGTATTTGAGTCATCAGTTTCTCATACTGTTTTGTGAAGTATGCTTCTTTTGGATGTTAAGGTCCTGATTTTCTTTAGTTTGATTAGTACTTATTAAGCGATGGTATCATACATGCAGTATATGAATTAGTTCAACACCATTAATAATTTATATTAGCAATAACATACTTTGTTGCTGTTCTAGCCATTGTAAAATCTGTATGCCTTTTCTTGAACTCAGTTTTACTGTGGGATTTATTGTTGAGTTGCTACCTCTATGCCTTTTCATCACTGTAAAGGAACATGCTAGTTCTAAAGGAAAGCATTTTATATAGGTTGGGCAGCTAAAGGAACTGGTGAACAAGGCCCACAATGCTGAACTGAAATTGTTCTTGGAAGTTGAACTTGGACTGGTAATAGCTTCTTTCCTGTGAGTTTTTATTTATTTGAGGTGCGGAGGGTGTTTGGCTGCAAGCCAAAGCTTGCCACTCCCCCCTTAGGCAAGTTTGATCATACTAGTAAGGTGTTTGCTTGCTACTCATAAGTTAGGCATGCAAAACTTGTTTCCAGCTTTGGCCTCACACATAATACGGAGAAAGAATTGTCGCACCAATTATTTTCGCTGCACTGTTGGCAAGTTAAGCAGGAAATAATGTTTGCCTCACTTGAGCATCTTTGGATGAACCATAAGCACCTACATTTTCACACTTTTTATTTAATAACCAACACATTAATATAGTTCGATTTGAAATTGATAAGATCTATTCTCATTCTTTTGCGGGCAATGTAGGACCTTAAACCTCTTCCTCTTCCAGACAAGACTAGAGAAGATATATTTCTTTTCTTCAAACTCTATGAACCTGAAAAGGAACATCTGCGGTACTTTTCATACATTCAACTCACTACTATCTGTCATACACTCAATACTTCATTTTTCGTTGGATATTTATTCCTCTACTGGATGGAATTTTCAGGTACGTTGGTAGGCTCTTTGTAAAGGCTTCAGGAAGACCACAGGACATTCTGCCGAAGTTAAGGATGCTGGCAGGTTTTTCACAAGATGATGATATTGAACTGTATGAGGTTAGTCTAGTTTTTTTGGAAAGGTTACATTGCCAATGCTTATATAGTATGCACATTGTTCTGGTTCTATCTTATTGTTTGCCTGTGATGATATTTATGTAGTTTTCTAATTATTCCATTCATTATCTTAATGCATTTTTTTTCAACATTAGGAAATTAAGTTTGAGCCCAATGTGATGTGTGAATACATTGATAACAGGCTTCTGTTTCGATCTTGTCAGGTAATGCTGAGTGTCAGGTTGTTTCTACTTAATATCGTACTTATTTTTTGTGATGCTTTCTTACCTGCACTTATTCATGTTGGCAGCTTGAAGATGGGGACATAATTTGTTTTCAAAAATCTTCAAAGCCAGATAGTGCTGACCGATATCGATTTCCTGACGTCCCATCCTTTTTGACGTATATACGTAACCGACAGGTATCTAGAGTGTCCCATGTACTCACTCCGTTCTAAAGCGCAAGTCCTTTTAGTTTTGTCCTAAGTCAACCTTCTCTAGTTTTGACCAAGTTATAGAAAAATGCACAACAGTACACCATAAAATTAGTTTCATCAAATCAACCATGAAATATGTGTTGACAGTGCATTTATTTGGTTTTATTGATGTTAATATATTTTTCTATGAATTTGGTCAATATAAGAAAAGTTTGTCTTAGGACAAACTAAAATGACTTGCATTTTGGAATGAATGGAAGTACTAGAATTCTGAATTGAATGCTATTTGAGATTTAATCCCCCAAACATTGTACATGGAGGATCTAAAAGACAACAGTTGTGCTAAGTTTTTTTTCGGTGCCTATTTTCCGGTTGATGATCAATTACAACACAAAGCTGTGTGAACAAGAACAATACAACATTTCTCCAGAAAAGAAAACAAACACTTTGTTTAACATCTCTGTGATTATTATATATGATTTTTCCTGTAATTTTGTTTGCTACATTTTGCATACTACTGTTCTCTAAAGATTTAGTCTGTGATTTACATCTTAATGCTATCATATAATTCATTCTGCTGTAATATTTAGGTGGTCCACTTCCGTTCGCTGGAGAAGCCCAAGGAGGACGATTTTTGCCTCGAGATGTAAGAATTTGGACATGTTGTGCTTAGCAAACTGTGATATTCTGTACTGCTAATGAAACCTTTTCTTTTCCCCTTTTTTGTATATAGGTCAAAGATTTTCACATATGATCAAGTCGTGGAAAAAGTAGCTGAAAAACTTGGCGTGGATGACCCATCGAAAATTCGGCTTACATCACATAATTGTTATTCACAGCAGCCCAAGCCTCAACCAATAAAGTACAGAGGCGTTGAACGCCTACTTGACATGCTGATCCATTATAACCAGGTCACTACACTCAATTTTGATCTATGTTACAATTGGTTTCCATGCAAGTGAAGTGAAAAATAACATATCTTTTCATCTATCAGACTTCTGATATTCTGTACTATGAAGTATTGGACATACCACTTCCAGAATTACAAGCGCTGAAGACATTAAAAGTTACATATCATCATGCCACAAAAGATGAGGTTATTTTCCTGGACTTTCTCAATCATGGCTGTTGATCTTTGTATGTCTGTTTGTCCTAAAATATGTTTTGTAAATCATCAGGTGTCAGTTCACAGTATAAGATTGCCAAAAAACAGTACTGTTGGTGATGTGCTAAATGATATTAAAACAAAGGTATCTATTTATTATTCCTTGTTTTTTATTTGACATACTCTTTTTATGGGGCCCTTTGCATTTGTGAAGTTAACTTATGTCTTGTATCGTATCAGGTTGAGTTGTCTCATCCCAATGCTGAGCTAAGATTACTTGAGGTCTTTTATCACAAGATATACAAGGTGCTAAGTTGCATTTAATTATGTTGCATTTATGTTTTATGTATGCACTTAGTTAGGGACATGTAGGCAAAAAGAATATATGTATTTTGCTAAGTACGCATGCATCGCATACTAGCAAACTTCACAGGCTTGTTATTTAACCTGTAATAATTCCTGCAGGTATTTGCACCAAATGAAAAGATTGAAAACATTAATGATCAGTACTGGACACTGCGTGCAGAGGAGGTATGTTGTTTCATGCTTCACAACTAGGTTGGTTTTGAAAGGTTCTTATTTGTCTCTTACTTACCAATGGCTACTTTTGCCTTCTCTTTCTAGGTTCCAGAGGAGGAGAAAAACCTTGGTCCCTTTGATCGTTTGATTCATGTATATCATTTTACAAAAGATACTCAAAACCAAACGGTAATGATGGAAACTTGGCTAATATTCATCTGTATATATAAAAAGAATACAGCTTAAGTTCTAGAATCTAGTGGTGCAATTCTTTTGGTCATTAATTCATTATATCACCCTTAGTCTCAAGTAGTGTTGGATGTGTAGGAGAATAGAATTGGTGGAATATTGGATGTATTGCATTGGGCCTCATGGGTTGATTATATAAGGTACATAGGACTAACACCCCACGTGGGTAGACAATGTGGTACTATTCCTATTTACTCTAATAGGATGTGGTTACATTTTTTTCCTAACTGTTGCCTCAGTGGTGTGCCTTCAAATATCCTTTTAGATAAATTTGTATTTCGTTGTGCTCTGTCAGGGTGTGCACGCTATACATGATCACTGAGTTAAGCAGGTTCTAGGAACTGATCCTACCTTGGTGGGACTGTGGGAGGTGTTGCTGTACCCCCACAGCCAGTCATAGTTGGTTGAGTTTTTTTATCGCGTCTCTAATTCTTTCTATTTTCATCTGAGTATTATTTGTTGGATATATGTTGAAAATAAGTGCTATCTAACAGTATCTTTCTCATCTTGTTCACATATTTCTAGTAATTTTCCCTTGGGTATGTATATGTCATCTTGAGTACAAGTGTCTTTAATCACTAACTAAACTGTAACAGTAGGATAAATTTGCCGAAGTGATACTTTTGGACATACTAGTTACTATTTTGTATCCTTGTTATGCTGTACGTTTGACATTATAATGCCATTCTTGCTCAGTTTTCTTTAAAATACTTTAGGAGCCTCTGTGTGTTTTCTTGGCCCTGGTTGAGTAGTCCTTGTTCATGGTAATATTGTACTGTGGGTGTGTGTGGTGTCCGGGAGCCTCTCCCCTGTACTAGGAGTGGACTCTTGACCCTCCTATGTACTATTTTTCTTCTGAATGTTAATGAAATGACATATAGTTCTCCTGCGTTGTTCGAGAAAAAAAAGGGTATATGACATGATGGGAGAGCAATACTGCTATTCAGTAACTGTCAACGTTCAATCATTCTGATCTTAATAGCGTATGTATACTGAATATTTGCATTGTTCTCAACAGCAAGTTCAGAACTTTGGAGAGCCTTTCTTTATGGTTATCCGTGAGGATGAGATCCTATCTTCTATCAAAGAACGTATACAGAAAAAGCTTAAGGTTCCAGATGAGGATTTCTCAAAGGTAATTCTTTATATGTTTCCATCTGTGTAGGTTCCTGACTTCCTGTTATGTTTTGTTCTTAAACCATTTGATGTCTTGCTTGTTGATCTTGTTAAGAACTGATGTTGGAACATGCATGCTGGCCAGTTTTAGCACTGAATTTGCCCTCTAGTGTTCGAAGGTGTCAACCTCCCACATAGTGCATAATGGCAGCCAAGGTGGGCCACATTGGCAGTCGCCCACAATAATTGCCTCCTAGGTGTTAGGTGTCACCCCACTGCCTAAGTCACTAGCGCCTAGCATTTCTATTCTTTTAATATTTTATACTTCTCAGTATGCTGACTATTAAAAGATCCGGTATTTGGTAAAACTTAAGAAGCGTCAATAAGAATGTGCTAAATGGAAGTCTGCTTTTTGTACATGATAGTCTTCATTTTAGCGAAACAAGCTTAAGAAATCATTTCTATGCCATGAAAAATATGAAGAGATGTTGGTATTATACAAGAGTGCAGGACTTGAGGTCTTATCTTGGTGATTATATGCATGTGAAAACCATAGTTTCGGCAACCTCAGCGGTCTTTTGATGGTCAGAGTTTGTGGTTTTCTGGTCCAACCTTGTGCTTTGACAATTACTGAAGTAATATGCAGTTATTGTGAACAATCTGGTTCGATCTTGTTCAATTACATGAACAGTAGCGTTGGTTGGTTCCATTGTCTGTTTGCCTGTAAGTAACCAAACTTTGCTATTTGGACAGTGGAAGTTTGCATACATTTCACTTGGTCGTCCAGACTATTTTGAAGATTCAGATACTGTAGCCGTAAAATTTCAGGTACAATCAGGCTTTTATATCTGTTTGCTGAAGCATTTATTGTCTATTTCTTCTTTATGTTGCCAGCATCTTAACTTTATATCTCTTTTTGACATATTTAACCTTATTAAGAGAAACATGTATGGAGCTTGGGAGCAGTATCTTGGACTGGAACATCCAGACACAGCTCCTAGGAAGGCGCACACAATTAATCAGGTAGAGCTAACACATCGTTTCCATTGCTTTGCATTTCTACTGATTTCACAAATCCTTTTTTGTGATCTGTAATGTCTACTGTGTGTTCATTGTGCAGAACCGGCATTCATTTGAGAGACCTGTAAAAATTTATAACTAGGCATGTTAGAAATTTGAGCGATGACTACCAAGCAAGGGCCGAAATTGCTGTCTTGAAATAAAGTGTGCCGTAATCCGGGCATGTTGCTCAGGTTTTTCGCTGGAGCTGTTGAGCTAGTTCAGGAGACTTTTTAAGTATGATCGGGGTGGCTTTTCATCTTTCCCTGCTTTGCCCCGGATATATAAAGTTGTGCAGAGATGACCCCACCGAACAATGTCTTTAGTAGATAAGCCAGTATTTCCCGTTAGGTGACTTTATACAGTCGAATAGGCGACGTTTTAGTCGATCACTTTGTTCAGTTGGTGCTAGGAAGCCTTGAGCTGTTGAGGGTACTTGTCCTGCTGTATATTATTGACGCGGAGTGTACAAGTCTCTGTTGACAATTATTACACGGTGTTTTGTAATTTCAATGATATATTTCTACATCCTTTCGTGCCTGCTTGTTGTTTTCCCAGGTTTTTCGTACCGGATGATTTCAGTTTCATTAAAATTGAGTGATGTTAGTCCCTCTTTCAAATTATAAAACATTTTGTCTTTTTTAGATACATCGCTCTAAAAAAGTATCAAGATGTTGTCTAAGTGCGTAGCAAAATCTATGTATTTAGAAAAATCAAACATCTTATAATTTGGAATGAGGGGAGTATTAAATAGCAGGACAATTGGTTTTGAAAACTTTTTTTTTTGACCCAAGTCAGCAGGAGAAACCTCAACCTTTTTTTATTTTTTTTATTCTCGACCTATTTAAATTCGCTCCCAGGGAGTCCTCCAACCCAGGCCTGCTAGATATTACGCAGGTGCTCTAACACTAAGCTAACCACTAAGCTAGACATTTACTTTTTGTGGGTTTGGGTAACTTGTAAAATTAAGCCTATTACGTTGCAGTTAGCCATGCCGCAGCACTCTCACGCAATGAACCTGATACCCTTGTTTGCCGTACGTCTTGATACAAACTTTGTTGCAAAAAAGACGGGCATAAGCACAACGGGTCAAACTCACTGCCGCACAGCAATGGCATCAGTAGAAACAGACTAACGCCTAAAATAACAGTCATATTATTATTATTAATAATCATAATATAAACGGGCACTCATCTTACAAAATATATAATCATATCAATAATAAATGTGCATCCATCTTACAAAACTATCTTGAAGGGATCATAATATAATATGTATCCGTACAATTTTGGCAAAAACAGTGTGGATTAATATATGCAAGGTGGAGAAAAAATTCAGAATCAAACATAAAAAAATGTTATAGCCAGGCAAAATTTATCTCAACTATAAGGGCATTCCGAAAAGGCTCTAAAGCCATAAGTCAGAAATATACGCCTTGCCAATGCATGTTGCTGCTGGACACGACAGAACTTCGTTGGCACTTGGCAATGGCAATCTATCACGTCCTTTTTGAGAAGTCAATCTATGAGATCCTTTTAACCAGAAACTATCAACAATCAGTTTTGTCCTGCGTTCCATCATCGATCAAAATGGCAACACGGTGGCATCCCCGTGGATCGCTGTATTTAAGTGGAGATGGTTGATTGCAGAAAAGCAAGACGATTCTTAGTTAGAGAGATCTTCTCGTCTGCCTCGGACGCTTTTTCACGAACTCCACGAACAATATCTTCAGGAGCCTTTTCTACAAACTGGACCACAAAAGAAGTATACATCATTAAAAGGGCAAAGATGTACCTTGAACAGTATAAATATCTCAGTGAACCAAGCAGAATTAGGCACATACACTGGGGGAATTGAGGCGGGCTACAAGAGCATCATACTCCGATTGCATCTTAGAGAGGCGCTTGGAGAGCCGTTTAACCTCTTCAGACACATCAACCATATCAGCCAAAGGTAGATAGGCCTCCAAACCCTCATCAGCAACAATGTGAACCGACTGGTTTGCATCACCTGCCAATTTAGGATACAGATAGTTGTTGGCAAACTGCAGAAAGAAAGGATACGTTTGAACACGCACAAAGGACGCACCTGGTACTGATTCAGTAAAATTTACATTCTGAACGTCAAGCTTTGAAAGTAAAGCTAGGACCTGCTTCTCCTTCTGCAGGCATAAAATTCCAAGTTGTTATGAAAAAGAAGGGAACATTAAAAAGAATGATTAAAGGTTTTTTCGTGAGACTAGAGGTATATGACACAAAATAGGTATACTGTGAAAATACATTCTGTGATGAACCTAGTGACACTTATTGGACAAATATTGATATTTTTGTATAAACTTGGTCAAAGTTAAAATAGTTTGACTCGGTACTATGCTATTGCATCTTTTTCTGGACGGAGGGAGTTACATCTTTGAAGGGTTTCCACACTATCGAGATGCAGGGAAGCTGACAAAAGCGTGAGCTTGTCCAGACTTAGAACTAAACGGATTTTTTTTCTGTAGCAACATTGATTTGGGTATTGATGTATACAAAAAAAATATTCATTGCTCCTGCTATCAAAATATACGTCTGCTTCAAACTCCTTGAAAAATCACACCATCAAAAAGATCATGCAAACTTACCGATACATATTCCAGGACATCTGCAGTAGCAACAACAGAAGCTGATATCCGTTTAGCTGGCTCAACAGAATATTCTGCTCGAACATTTCTGATTCCTCTTATCTGTCATCATATTGGCAGTCAAATAAAATGGCTACCATGAACTGTAGCATCTCTCAAAGTGAAATTGTAAAACTCAAGTGCAAAGTTTTACCAATGATTGCAAATTCTGGAACCTTTTGATGGACCTCAAATCCTTAGGAAGGCCAGTGGTAGGCCAGGGAGTAACCATAAGTGCTTGTTTTCTGTATGGAAATGCCTGAAATAAGAACAATAATAATATTCTACTGATGATGCTGATGAGGGGCGTGATAGATTTATTGAAGTAATAATCAACAGTTATGTGCCGATACCTGCCATAATTCTTCAGTGACGAATGGCATGAAGGGATGCAATAACTTCAGTATGTTTTCAAACACATACACCAGAACGCTCTGGGCTGTAGCAGCAGCGAACTTGTCACTTGAGTGGTAAAGCCGTGTTTTGCTAGCTTCAATATACCTGAATGGCAAATAATTGAAGAGTTCTTAGTATACAAAAAATGAAGCTTAATTCCCTTGGTTGTAGTTGAAATCCAAGATTTATCAAAGAAAACAACAATTCAAGTACAGTGGCATGGCAGATTTTATGTTATTCTAGTCAAAAGCTAAACCTTCTTTCTGTTCATTCCTAAAGAGCAGCGACATGAGATGCATAAAGCACTGAAAGGATTCTACATGCACAAAAATGACCAAGACTATGAACGATGTTAATAACTAGGAAAAAGGAATCCAGAGACAGGCAGAGGCCCTTGTATCAAACCACATATAAGGTTTAGGGCGTGTTTGGGACTGCTCCGCTCCACGTTTTTCAGCTCCGCTCCACGTTTTTTAGCCAAACGGTTTCAGCTCCACGCACTCTGCTCCAGGAAAAAGGGTGGAGTTGTGAGAGCACCTAAAGAGGTACTCCACAAACTCCAGTTTTTTGTGGAGCTGCTCCACAGTGGAGTTTGTGGAGCAGAGTTTGTGGAGCAGTCCCAAACACCCCCTTAGTTCATGGATTACTATCAGCTCCTGGTTTCTACCGCGTAATGCAGACAAAAGTTAGCAAATTTTAGTTCCCTCTATCCTCATCATTGCCAAACAAGATTCATTAGATACACCATGAACATATTTTGATAGTGCATTTATTTGATATTGTATACGTTAATGCATTTTTCTATAAACTTAGGACAAAACTTGTATGACAGGAGTATATAGTTCTCATCAATAGGCACCGATGGAACCAGAAAACTTGTTGGAGCATGTCCATGTAATAAGAAATGGACACCAATGGAAATAATATGAAGCGCCCTTTTTTTTACAGGGAAGTGACGTTCTTTTTCCCAGATCCCTCTACCCTCATCATTGTCAATGAGCTAAAAGTACTACACTATTAGATCAAGCCATAAATATCGAATGGTTCTAAGAAATCTAGTTCATTCTAGGGTTTTCCATAATCTTACCAATCAGCAAAATCCCCCCAGAAGAAATCATATATTTCTCTAGCAGCATCTCCAAAGAAAAACTTGTCATAGCTTCTGCTGACCTTATCAATGAGTTCATGTAGTCCTGTAACCTGGATTATAGTTTATTCTTGTCATCAACAAACTACACAAGGCCAAATAATATAACATATTAACAGACTTACCACCCAGCATTCTGGCAATGGCAGTTTCTGGAGTGATGCTTCTGAGTCGAACTGGACAAAGAGATGCAAATGTATTAGCAACAGTTTAAAACCTAAAACACAAATTTAGTGAATGTATCATGTGCAATTTGAAGTTCAGTGAGCAACCTTATTTGCTAACAAGACATCCCATGCCGAGACATCACTTTTATCAGGCAAATTCTGCAACAAAAATTTGCCTGCGTTCCACAGCTTGTTTGTGAAAGCCTTATTTGATGTCAACCTTTCTGTAGAGAGATTGAGGTCCTGAAATAAAAAAAAGGTGTATTAACAACAGACAAATTTAATTGTGCAACAAATAACAAAATAAGAAATACTGTATGGAAAAACAAACCTGGCCTGCAGTGCCCAAAGATAGTGTAAATCTCAAAGCATCTGTCCCGTAATCTTTGATGGTATCTAGGGGATCAATGACATTCCCCAATGTCTTCGACATTTTTCGACCCTGGGAAGCACCTTGTAATTTAGCATCTCAGATGAATGTTAAAGCTAGGACCATATCAAACAGATTTCACAAGGGCCTACCCAATTGATCTAACATGTTCATCAGGATAAATTCGATAATGAGCCTTGCTGCCCCAACATGTAAAAGTTTTTTTTGCTTTACGACCTGACATCTGTAGTGATGAAGGTATAACAAGTGGCCAGCTGCTATGGAGCATCTACAGCCTACAAGTAGAAAAAACATGAGGCCCAAACAAAAATGCATCCCTTGTAAAGCTGTACCCTTTCGATAGATCCTAAGAGGTGGGCAGCATGTGGCAAACAGGCAATGGTTGCAGCAAATATTAGATCCTAGTAATAGGGTAATGATATCATTTAGGGGGGTATTTAGTTTGAGGAACCACCCATCCTACATGAGGTGGTGTATCATTAGTTCATCCCATGAAATTTGGTGGAATGACTCCATTCCTTGTGATTATACTAATTATTAGCTTGCGAGAGGTGAGGTGGTGGTGGATCAATCCATTCCGTTCCACAAACCAAACAAAAAAGTGAGTGAGAAGACGATGGACCACTTCATTCCTCAAATCAAACATGTCATTAACATGGTTCCAAAAAATACCTATGCCTTTTTCATAATCTTATTGATTTAGAAGTTTGGTCATGTTGCTTTTGCACCACAAGAAAAGGTTAGCCTTGATTATTGGCTGCTGAAAACAACAAAACACACATTGTGCCTCATCTCATCTCACCTCAGCGTCCCGGATAAGACCATGAAGATAGACATAAGAAAATGGTACTGATCCTGTGAACTCAATTCCCATCATGACCATTCATGCAACCCAGAAGAACAAAATGTCATGGCTGTGAAGGAAATAGTCAGGCATCAATGTAAAGAACAGAAACTTGGCACAAGTATCAATCCACTGAAAGAAGAAAAGGTAAATCAAACTGTTGCCAAAACTAACATACCCTGTCTCCAGAACAGTTGAAGGATAAAAATGCTTATAATCCTCCTTGGAAAGATCAGGCCAACCAAGCGTGCTGAAAGGCCACAGAGCACTGCAGGGTAATAGCAACAACTGAAATAACAGAAACTATAGTAGTTTTTATTTTGACAGGTAAAAGAATCAGCATGAAGGGCGGGCCTGGTGCAAGCGGTAGAGTCTTACCGCCTGTGACCGGAAGGTCCCGGGTTCGAGTCGCGGTCTCCTCGCATTGCACAGGCGAGGGTAAGGCTTGCCACTGACAGCCTTCCCCAGACCCCGCACAAAGCGGGAGCTCTCTACACTGGGTACGCCCTTTTTTTTAAAAGAATCAGCATGGAGCCAACTATGGTATTTATACTATATATTTCAACAGAAAAGAAGGGGCAGGCAAACCACCAAAATACAAGCAAAAAGCAAAAGATCAGAGAAAAGGGGGCAAAACACAGTGTTCAAGTGGCCGGAAAAAGAGCAAGCCACAAAGGCACAGAGGATCTAAGATCATTGAACTTTAGTACTTCATGTAAGAAGTATTTCTAAAAAGGGATAGGTGCAAGGCCGGTCAAGACCTAGAGCCCAACCTACAAGGTAGGGCTGTCAAAGAAGCTCGAGGCTCACAAGCTACTTGAACTCGACTCGTCAAATGCACATTTCGAGCTTAGGTCAACTCAGAAATGAGCTAACCTCGATCTTCTCCCAAGCTGACAAGCTTTTAATGAGTAGCTCGATTAGGCTTGTCCCTGTCCATTGGAGCAGATCTTGAATTTTGATTGTTGTCTTTTCAAACTCTAATGATTCCTTTGAGAACTCCTCACTCCTCTTCCTCGCAGCTTCAGTGAACCGAGCTTGAGCTTTGTTCAAGCCGAGTTCAAGCTGGACTATAAGCTCAGCCACTATGGGCTTGCTCAAGCTTGACTACATAGTGTGATGAGCTCGACCCTGCGACCCTGGGATCACTCGAGCTTGGTTTGTTGACAGCCCTGATACAAGGCAGGGCTAAACGAACCCAGCATCTAGCAGGTGAGGCTCCCGCCATTTAGATCAGTAATCATACAGATAAGCTCCATGTCGATCAGTTACATACTGCAGAGAAAGGAGAAAAGGCGTACTCCACAGTGCAAGTAGTTCAACATAAGCGGGTCATAAAACATTTACTGTTATTCAAGGAAAACCCAAAACAAATCTTTAAAAATTTACAAGAAATGTGTTTATAAAGTTGATGCTTAATCCCAAAAATAGAACTTCTAGTTTTATTTAGTGAATCCAAATACCTTTTCCAATCAAAGTAAAAATTCTTGCACCCCCAACCCCCATTTACAAATAAAAAATTATCAGGCAATAAACTAATACATAACACAGAAAAATAATTGGGACCACAAATTTCGCAGAGGAAGACAGACCTTGAGAACCAAGTATCAAGAACATCAGGGTCTTTATATATTTCAACTGATTTTCCATATTTTTCCTGAGCTTTTGCAAGTGCCTCCTCTTCGGTTCTAGCAACAATATAGTCTTCTTCACATTTCTTTCCAACAATATACCAAACTGGTATACGATGACCCCACCACAATTGTCTACTTATACACCAATCCTTTATGTTTGTTAGCCAATGATTATAGATCTGCAGAAGAAGCACACCAAAAAAACAAAGGGCAATAGTTTCTGTAAAAATACATTCAGCAGCCCTGATTTTGCCAGTTCATAATCATACAAGCAGATAACTCTCTCTCTCTCTCTCTCTCTCTCTCTCTCTCTCAAGAGTAAAGTGTGTTCATGCAGTACCTTCTCAAATCTCTCCGGAAGAATGGTTAATTGCCCATTTTCAACAGCATGGAGAGCCTTTTCAGCCAATGGCTCCATCGTAACAAACCATTGCTTACTAATCAAAGGCTCAATCACCTAGGATCAAACAGAAGTAGGTCCATCAAACCCTATGGAAAATATCAACAACAAAAAATATCACTAAGAACAGGAAAGGGATCACACTTCACCACCCCGTTGAGACCTAGGGACTCGAAGTGTATAAGGTTCTTTCTTTACTGCCAAGTTAGTCTCAACAAGGTCAGACCACAACTTTTCTCGGGCCTCAAATCGATCCATACCACTGAAAAAAGGAGAAGAAAGAAAGTTAGTACCAAAAACATGTGGCACGCAAAGCCATAGAAAGGATTTCTGCAAAAATATAGCACTTCCGTTTCCACATGCATCAGAATCAACTAATAACAGCTTTTGTACAAAAGGTCAAAGCCACAAATAGAGTGCCTCACTCTCTCTCAAACTTTCTAGAATACAAAGTCCTGTAGGTTAATTTAAACAGGTCCTTATTTAGTTGTTTCAGTGCCATTAAATAGAAGGCATATTAAAACTATATGACAGAGAAGCATATATGGTCTTAAAAAAAAGCATATATGGTCTATATAAGTAGCCAAAATTCAGTGTCTTAGTAAATGAGACAGCATGAGAATGAATATAAAGAGGAAATTGCACAGAAAAATTGCGAACTAACAAAAAAATCACAGATAAAAAAACTATAGTTCTGTTCACCTGAGTTTGGAGAGAGAAAAATACATACCTGTATATTCCAGCAACATCATTTAGCGTACCATCTTTGTTCATAGCATTTAGAATTGGCAGCCCAAGCTTTCGAGCAATATGATAATCATTATGATCATGTCCAGGGCTAATCTTCAGCACCCCAGTCCCAAATTCTGGATCAACATACTGTAAATCATAGAATCAGTAGTTACATTTAACAGAAATCATGCAACTCATAGAAGACACGAAAGGGCACTTCTAAAGAAATTATTTATCTCTTTAAAGCCCGAGGAAGGCCACAGTACCTCCCTTAAGCACTCTTTTCTATCTCTAGATCTATTTGACTGAATTTCCCAACATAACATTGGAATTGGGCATTCAGAACTCCAACACAGGTGAGAGTATATAAGCATGAAGCCATGAACTATACAAAGCATGCAGATTACTAAACAAGAATATATAAAGATGAAGCATTTATATGAAGATGCAAACGAGCAGACCAAGCAAAGAATATAGACTTCATGCAGAGTTGCAGACTTCATCCAAACTAGGAAAAGAATGATCGGCAATTCGGCATAAGTCAAAACTTAGCTACAGAATCAGTGAAGTAGAAAGCATCAGTAGCACTTTCTTGACTTCAAATAATAGCAATCGCATAAAATAAGAGAACAATGGAACCATGTTAATGAGTTATTTTTGGCATCTTGTCTTACTATATTTGATTCATGTCGCGATGCCCTTTGTGAAGTTGCTTCAAACATAAAGGACATTCATCTTGTCTTACTATATTTGATTCATGTCGCGATGCCCTTTGTGAAATTGCTTCAAACATAAAGGACATTCAGTTTCGTGCTTACCCGGTCAGCAATAATAGGGACATGTCTCCCACATGTCAACGGTACAATAGCCAATTTGCCAACATATTGGGCATAACGCTTATCCTGTATTGCCAATTGACATACTAGAGATAAGATTTCTACTAAACTAGCTGTTTGAGAAATAAAAAACTTGACATAGTTATAACAGAATGGAAGAAAACGTGACTGCACAACACTGGAGAACTCGTACCTCTGGGTTAACAGCAATTGCAACATCACCAAATAGAGTTTCAGGTCTTGTGGTCGCAATAGTCATAAAATCATCCCTGCGCCAAGTATAAACGAGATATTTGTAAACAATTTTCATCAATATACAGTGTCAATAATGTTGCTTGATTTCTCATATTACAAGATAATAAAAGGTTAATTGTACATCATGCAAAGTCATTCTCCAGAAAATGAAAATTTGAATATAACATGATGAAAACAAGAATCTGGTGGCAAACAAACTCAATAATGAAATGTCCATTGACAATCAAATAATGAAATGTCTCAATGCAATATAGACGGTATAGTGAAAAGTACCTGGTTCCACCAGCAACACGGTACTTGATGAAGTACAAATTTCCAGGTTCTTCAGAGTATTCTACTTCCTGATTAGAAAAAAACCATGTCAGAATCAAATCTTGAGTTTCCACATGCAGAACCATGATGATGTGCTGAGGCTTTGCAGCATTCTGTGTACTACTGTACTGTTATCGAATTTCCTTTTGTTTGAGTTTGCGCTAAATATCACAGATATGTTTAACTAATTGAAAAGAAGGCAAACATTTTCACATACTAAATCAGATACTGCAGTTTGCAGGTTAGGAGACCAGTTGACCAAATAAGAGCCTGTGAATGAAAAAAAATATATATATTAACCAATATTTATATAAGTGATTTAAGGTAAGACTAGTGCACCGCTCAAGATAAAATCATAGGATTCAAATCAAAAGAATAAGCATTCCCAAATTTCTATCCAACAAGAGCCCTGCTTGCCAAAAGAAGAATAGGAATAATAAGCATGACCATCCTCAACATGACACCCAAGCATAAAATAAGGGACCATAGGTGACACTTAAGATAACGCAGGTACAGTACAAACTGTCAATAGCATGTCTTTTATCAGATTAATGCATGTTTATTACGTTGCAAGGAACAAATGGTTCCTTCTTTCCATTGAGTTTCCATTTGGTGGAGATAGTTGCTCTGAACTTTCAGTCAACAAATATGACCATCATGTGACAATGTTTAGACCGGATATGGATGCTGTAAAGTGCAAAATAGCTGTAAGACCTCACACATGACACATAAGCCACTTTCTGTAAAAAGCACCAATGCTAGTGATATGCAGTAACAAATCATTTTAGGATGCAAGATTCAGGGAATCTGGATGTAGCTCCGACTTCTTCTGAATACGAGAAATAGAAGAATATTTATGCTCTGTAGTACAGAGCATGTTAATATATACAACAACAACAACAACAAAGCCTTTAAGTCCCAAACAAGTTGGGGTAGGCTAGAGTTGAAACCCATCAGAAGTAATCAAGGTTCAGGCACGTGAATAGCTGTCTTCCAATCACTCCTATCTAAGGCTAAGTCTTTGGATATATTCCATCCTTTCAAGTCTCCTTTTATTGCCTCTACCCAAGTCAACTTCGGTCTTCCTCTGCCTCTCTTCACGTTACTATCCTGGCTTAGGATGCCACTACGCACCGGTGCCTCTGGGGGTCTCCGTTGCACATGTCCAAACCATCTCAACCGGTGTTGGACAAGCTTTTCTTCAATTGGCGCTACCCCTAATCTATCACGTATATCATCGTTCCGAACTCGATCCCTTCTTGTATGACCGCAAATCCAACGCAACATACGCATTTCCGCGACACTTAGCTGTTGAACATGTCGTCTTTTCGTAGGCCAACATTCTGCACCATACAGCATAGCAGGTCTAATCGCCGTCCTATAAAACTTGCCTTTTAGCTTCTGTGGTACCCTTTTGTCACAGAGCATGTTAATATATACAAGAAGAAATAATGACCGAGGAAATTATGTAGTTATAGTGGAGGCTGGGATTAACAGACTCAACCCTATCTCTAACTGACCTTATCCCTAACTTAATCTAATCTCTTAGCAAGCCTAATCCAAATAATCAAACTAATCTCCTTGCTGTGCTGCACACCCTCAAACACCCTGATAGTAGTACAACAGAAGAACATAAGAAAAAAACAGTAACGGCTTGTTTGGCTGCACTCCAATCCATTCCAACCCATGTGGATTGGGGTGGATTGAAGTGCAGTCAAACAAGCACTAAGTGGAAACTTGTGCCTCGTCTATTAAGTAATTAAATCCTTAACTTTTCAAAAAAAAAAACCGGAAAAATAGTAGTTGAAAAATGAAAAAAAAAAATCTACAAGATATGATCTTCAGAATGCTCCTTTACAGGTACATCATTGGCCAACAATGTTTTGTGATGCTTCTGTAGCTGTACAGCAGATTCCTCATCAACTCAAACTAGAATTGGCATATTCATTCTCAATTCACTGTGCATAGCCTATTTAGTGCATCCTTTTTTCAGGTTGCAATCCCACATGCCTTGTGTCCATTGGAAGCAGAAGCCCAGACACTGTTATTGGGAGCCAAATTGGCTGCTGCACTGAGCCTACCAGATGATCAAATTCCTCGCTGACAATGAGATGGTGGCTGTAGTTGCTCAACAAAAGTCTTTGCGCCACAACCAGGGACATTGGTCTTCATGACAATCCTTGCTGAAATTTGCAGGAATCACTCTAGAGATGCAACACTCAGTCATCAATATTAGGAGCGAAACAAACAAAGTCACCGATAAACTCGCTAAGCAGGCAAGACAAGCAAACCATTCCAAGTCCTTGTCTGTAATCCTGTGATACGCTAGTGCACTATCCTCAATGTAAGGTGCAAAGGGCACAGGAAGACGTTCAATGGAGAATGTGTTGCCCCAAGCACTTGTAATGTGCTTTATTAAAGTATTATAAGTAACGATGACAATACTTTGGTTTTCAAAAAAGAGGAAAATATAGTAATTGAAAAAAAAAGTATACTACACTCAACACAAATATCTGCTCAAGATCATGCACACACACACTCTTTTGTAGTAGGACAGCTATAATAAATTATTCTACCTTGATATATAAGCCCTTTATCATGGAGTCTAACGAATGCTTCAACAACTGCACCTGCAAAATAGAACCACCAATGCATTAATTGCACAGAACTACAGATAACCATCTCTCCAACACTCAGCTTTTTTTTCAAATATGTATAAGAGTTGTGTATCATTGTACTAATAGATAGGACAGTCCTGTGCAATGTCCCTAAGGGCGAAAAAAAAGAGAGGAAAGGAAACAGACCACTAACAGCACCCCACAGAAAGGAGCAAACACAACAAATCCAGGAAAACCTAAGTATGCCAAAGGATCCCTAACTCTTTTGGTCCAACACTCAACCTACCAACACTGTAGTTTTAAATCATACAATGACAATAAAGCCTATCAATGCTTCTTCTGCAAAATCTAGGTCAAAGCAAGGTCCTACAAATCGATGATCAGCGTTCATTTGGTCATCCACCTGGTAATGATTAGCTGATTATACAGCCTAACCAGCCCCACTATGCAGCCCGAATAGCAATCAAACAGTTACATGCGGAAGTACTTGTTCCTTGTGTATAACATAGTAAAGCTTCTTTTAGAACACTGCAAAAAGTCTACCAGTTCCCAATGTCCATAATCACACAAGGAAACTTCAGATCTAGCCAATAGAATAGAAGGTCAGAGTACTTTGTTCCCATTCATGAAAGAAAAAAGAAAAGGCATGGTAGGGAGTAAAGGAATACCCCACACCATCATGGTCCTGACTATATGCAAGTAACACAACAACACAATGGATGCATCATGCAACCAGTTGCCTCATCACTATGATAATTTGAGTAGAAGATAGGCAACAAACAACTATAGATATGCAATCCTTTAAATCATGAAACAAGCTAGTAGCTTTCAGCTAACTTAATAACACATTAATATGGAGAAGTACTAAATACAAACAGCATCACCAGCAACACTTACGGCTCAATTGCTCATCAAGAGTGAAACGTTCACGACTCCAATCACAAGATGCACCCAGTCGCCTAATCTGATTAGTGATAGTGCCCCCATATCTGAAAGGGAAACAGTTTTTAGAATGAGAACACATTGGTTTTGTAGACAATCCATCTTTAAAAATAGTCAAAGCCCTTATCCATGAAAGTTCTCATGAAACTAATGAAACAATCATAATAATTGGTCTAAAAATAATTAAAAAATAGTTGTTAACTGATCTAAAACAGAACAGCTGGAAATCCTGATGATATGTATTATTTTAAGAAACGCAACATAATTTGGGACTTGAGAGGTATAGGGAGAGAGAGAGAGAGAGAGAGACGAGTAAACAACCAGAAGTAATTGAAGGTAAGGGTTGCTCCAGATCAGCAGCACCAGTAGTTTTATGTTGCATAATAAAGAAGTCACAAATTGGTCTAGATTAAAAGAAAAAAGACTTACTTCTCTTTCCACTCCCAAACTTTTTTGGTGAACTCCTCTCGTGTCATATCTGTCCTCTTGACACCTTCAGCAGCCAGCATCTTTTCCACAACCAACTGAAACATAAATGCAAAAGGTTAAAAGGGAAAATACACAAATATTCATTGAATGCAAATTGAGTTTCTATCAAACATGCGACAAGATCTACAGACCTGAGTCGCAATCCCAGCATGGTCAGTGCCAGGTATCCAGAGTGCAGGTCTCCCTTTCATTCGGAAATATCTAACCATTATATCCTGAGTCACTTAAAGAAATGCACATTCTTTTAGTAAGAAAAATAGCATAGAGCCAAACAAAAACGGAAGGAAGCAAAATTGAGGTTTATCAGTTTGCATAGTACATGATGCTACAAGGATGTTTTTATACACAGATTATATAGGATTCTAATAAATCAATGAACTTAAACAGGTTGACTATTATATGACAGTTCACAGCACTTGTAGAGATTAGCATTAGACAGACTTCATAAATCGCTAACGCTTAATAAAGCTAATATTGACTAGTGTTCACTTTATTATTATCTAGTATCTGTCAGTCATTTCATGGTCCATTGAAAGAAATCAGTTTGCAGAGCAGTTGAACATAGCAACAGATTCACCCAATTGATCATACATATATGCTCATCTTTGTAGAATCCCCCCATTTGAAATTACAAGAATAGTAAGGTGTGGCACAAGAATTAAGGAGGGGTATGAAATAAAGAGTACAAAAGAAGAAAACGACCAAGCTAACCCTATTTAATACCTTGGAAAGCATGAGGGTGAATATCAGAATAGTTAGCGAGTACACACAGGTGAGAGGAGGTAATCAAGGGAACAAAGGTAAAACATCAGTAGGTTCATATGTTAGCCTTATAGCTTATACCCTAAAGGAAAGTGGAGAAACAGCGAAAGCTATATGGCTTATAATTTGAAATGGGGGGAGTATATCAAAGGTGTAACAAATGAGTGATCTGCTGATAAGGTGATATGCCGCTAGTCTTAAGATGAATTGTTAAGCCAAATCAGATTATATTTAGTCAACAGAATAAGTACAATAGCATTAGAATGTAATCATCCAACCTCAAGGGTGACAAACATAGCATGGCCCATATGTAGTGATCCGGTAACATTTGGTGGTGGCATCGGGATGACAAATGGATCTCCTCCACAGTCAAAGTTAGGCTTAAAGAATCCCTGAGATTCCCACCTAATAGAGCATCATGTATAAGGAAACTTTGTTGAAGCACAGAAACAACTATAGTGTATTACAACATGAATTCATACTTGACTGAAACAGAAAGTATAGGCAACTAGCAAGCATCAAACTCATAAATGTTTGTGGAGCAATGTTCAAGTACTATTTCCTTTTCCTTAACTCCTTCTAATAAAAAAATAGGTTATACTGCCATCCAAAGTAAATTGATTTACTTCTTGCTATCCTACTAGCTACATGTTTCCAAAGTACCAATTAACACTTGACATACACATACTGCTAATAGCAGTGCAGCAGAAATAAGATTCAAGCATATAATGCTCCCAGCAAGCTATTAGCTATCAATGTACCAATACTGGTTACCTAACAAGATGCCATTGCCAATTCACAAATATGAAAATTTTTTGAATGCCACTATGCTGAAAGCTGGGAAAAACTGACAATGCACTGCCACATCAGGACTTCAATTAAATTCATATTCCTACTAACTTGCCCTTTCTACCGCAGCTCATGAGCCCACAATAAGAAATGGACAGGCGAGCACCAAGTCTTCTGCAAGGTACTCAAACGAATCCAAAAACGAAAGAGTGAGCAAAAATTGCTCAGAGGCACGCGGACTTACCACTTGTAAATCCGCTCCTCGTTGGTGAAGTCGAACGACTTCGCGACCTCCGGGGAGGTGAACACATCCGTCTCGGAGGCAATCGCTGCAACGGAGCAGACCCCAAGCAATCCAGTCAGCTGACGAGCCATTCTCGGCGCAGAATTAATTAACAAGCTAGACGAGCCAGCAGCCGCTACCTGCGCAGAACCTGCGGGCGGCGCGGCGCGGGGACCACGCCGGCCGGCGGCAGGCGGCGGCGGCGGCGAGGAGGAGCGGGTTGAGGCGGCGGAGGCAGGCGGAGGAGGAGCAGGAGAGGAGCGCGGAGGACGGGCGCGCGAGCGCCATTGGCGCGGCCTCGCTGGAGATAAACCCTAGTGGGCGCGCAGGAGGGGATCGTATGCCGAGAGAGGAAGCCAGGGAGGGAGGGGTTTGGATTCGGGATAACGCGGGACGGCGGGAGGCGCTGGGGCAGAGCTGGGCTGGTGGCACGTGGCAGAATGGGTGTGTTTGGTTCGATATCGGGATATGGATATTGTGTGTATAGACAGTTATTTTTCTGGGTCTGGTTTGAATGATACGTGTTAGACGGGATGAGCTTTTTTTTTTTATGGACAAGGGAGCTGTAATCACCTTTTCAAACATGCACAACAGCTGCAACACATATACAAAATGCATGACATCTTGATAAGCACATGCATTGTCCGAACAGAAATTACACATGTAGATAATTAACAGGTTTTAGAACTTCCTCACATTACATATAAAATATATAATAACCCAATAGTACAATGTTTGATGGGTTACAAGCACGTCTACTACAAATATATAGATTAATCCGCAGTGTATTGTCTATGGGGTACTAACAAAAGAGTTGTAGCAGTACTCGTGTGCAACAAGGCATAACAACCATATCTTCAGTTTTCAGGGAAGTGCTCGGTAATAACTTTACAACCCAGTTCAACTTGTGAGATAACGATAGAGAACAAAAGGCTCTAGCTTTGATTGGACGGTCAACAAGATGCTCATGGTAAAATGACAAATGGGTGTCATCAAAGCCTGAAAGACTACAAATAGCATCATACAGACCTTCAGGAAGTTCCTCGAGCATTCCAGCCTTCTCTATAGTACAAGAGATTCTTTCCTCAACTTCTTTCATTACATGTATTATTCCATCATCTTCCCTCTCCCTTTCAACTGTCTTTGTTCTTTTGTTAGGCCTGGTAACTGAAGACGTCGCTCCATCAGCAGCAGCAACAACAGTTTCACCATCCCCACCATCTTCACCTTGTTCATTTTCACCAATTCCAGTAGCTAGAGGCTCATTTGATCCATTTGCATACTTTTCTGTGCCCACAGTAGCACCAAAGATAGTGGCCATCTCACCATAGCGCTCAATAGGCTTGTTGAAGAATTCCGCATCAGAGTTATGATCCTTGCAATACATGGACAAACTATTAATGAAAATTGGAAGACAATATTAAAATAAAAATTATGGCAGCAAGGGTACCGTAATATAGCTTGTATAATGCTCATGATCAAGAGAAATGACATAGTTGACTTCATCCCAAAGAGCACCACTTAAACTCTTGAGTTTGTTGATCCTCACATACTTCTTCTTCTTTGTTCTAAGATGGTTACTAATCTGCTCCTCGGTCCTCTTGCACTTAAAATGGTCATTCAGAGCTTTGGCACAAGAGTTCAAATGGATCTTCTTGAAACTGATGATGTTTTGCCATTAGCCACAACATTGGCAAAGTAAGTAAGCACGAAAGAAGACATTGCAGAAGGCCAAGTGACATGGCCACCACCCTCAGCCTGCTCTCCAGTAGCCTCAAATTCCATTTTCCTAGCACAATACCATTCAAATTTAAACATCAGTTTGCAAAAAAAAACTAGCAAGCCATACATATGTCCAATGATGAAAAAAAACAGCAAGCCATATACATATGTCCAGCACGAAAAAAGCAGCAATCCCTACACATGTCTTCATTATAGTAAAGAAAAATTTAGCAAGCCATACATATGTCCTTATTACAATAAAGTGAAAATTCAACAAGCCACACATGTCTTTATTACAGTATAATGAAAATTCAGCAAACCATAAATAATACAAATTATTCTTATAAATAATTTTGGTGGTCTTGCCACATAACATTGGCAATTCTCTGCCTAAAATTAATCATATATTGATGCTCACTAGCTTGCCCACTTGATGAATCAGCATAGTTATGGTTTGGTATGTAATTTGTCTCTTGTATGATAAAATCATCAAGCCCATCTTGTAGAACCAAGTTGTGCATAATGCAGCAAGCCACCACAATATCTACTTGTGTTCAAAATGGAAAGAATGGGGTGGCATCATCAAGTATTTTGAATCTCTTCTTGAGGGACTCAAATGCTCGTTCTACCGTCACACGAAGAGCCGAGTGTCCAAGGTTAAACAATTTTTTCTCATTTTGCACAGATTGTTCCCCCACTCATTCAAGTGATACCTCACATTCCGAAAAGGTGGTAAAAAACCAGGTTTGGTTCCATATCCTGCATCAACAAGATAGAATTTACCTAACATAAGAGGAAAATGTAGGTGATAGTGCTACTAACAAAATATGGCATGTCAAATTGAGGGTAAAAAATTATGGGTTGAATACCTTCAGGTACGCGAAGGCCATTTTCTCGTTCTAAAGCATCTCTCAACACAAGAGCATCATGTGCAGTCCCCTCCCAACCCGCCAAAACATATGTAAACCAAGATCAAAATCTACGGTTGCCATTACATTTTAGGATACAATGGGCCTTCTTACCACGAAAGGAAGGCTCCATATCCTTAGAAACAGAAGCTCGTACATGTGTGCCATCGATAGCTCCAATGTAATCCTATTTTTTAAGCAATACAACACATGAAACAAAGGGGACAACAAAAAATACCAAACTAAAATTCAGTTAGGGATAAAATTCACACCTTAAAGTAGGGATCCCACCTCGGGTTCCCTACTATTTTGGTTGGGGTCTCCAGTGAAGGTGGCCTTATATATTCTGCTCTTAACTCACCCACTGCATGAAGGACCAAGTGAAAATAATGACTAATAGTTTCACCAGATCTATCAAGATTAGTGGCCACTAATCTATTCCTAAGGTTATGTCCCACTGTATTTAAAAATATTGCTACTTGTTGTTCAACACACATATGTATAGTGTCTTCAAGTAAGCCACGATCTCTAAACAGTTGACAAAACGGAAGAATGACTCTCTTCTAAGCCTAAGCATGTTAACACAGGTTGTGTCATTCTTCCAAATTTTATTGTTCAGATAATCAATTCTCATTCCATCTCTTTCTTTCATTGGACCATAGCTAATGCACTGTCTGCGTTCACTCCTTTTCCTTTTCCTTTTCCTAAACCTAACAACAATTGCCATCATGGAAAGCAACATATGAGCTACAGCTGCATAAATCAAGATCTTGGTCCTCTTGTCCATCAGCTAAACTGAAGGAAAGATCAAATCTGAACATAAAAAGACAATATTTACAGTCCAGATCTATGGATATCCAAAAGCAAGAATGCATCATCACTTGAATCAACTATCAATCCTATTTTCTATTCTCAGATTAACTAAAATTCTTTTTACCAAAGGATTAGGGAGGGGAATATTTCACACCTGCTTGCTCCCTGCTGTGCGAGACGAAGCAAAGGAGGTGTCGTCAGGACCTGCTCCCTACTGCTGCTGTGAGAGGGAGGTGTGCCATGGCTGCTCGGACCAGCAGAAGAGGTGTGTCGTTGGGACCTGCTGCTGCTATGTGAGCGGTAGAGATGCCCGTGTGTGGTGGTGCTGGATCCTATCCACTACTCCCTGTTGCTGCTCATGCGATCGGTGGAGGAGATGTGTGGCGTGGGGCGGAGATGTGTGGCATGGAGTATGCGGCGTGCGGCAAGGTGAGGAGTGCCTCCTTGTGCAGAGAGCAGGAGTGGAGAGAGGAGTCTGGAGGAGAGCGGTGACGGTGAAGATAAGGACGGGAGGTGAGAAATATCTGCATGCGCTCTCGCGCTTGTTTCCCGCACGTTCGCGCCGACCGTGGATAACCTCGTTCGCTCGTTTTCTTATGGCCGCAGTATACAGGATCTAACGAGAATATACCCTGTTCTAGATATCCATGGCCAGCTCATCTATAGAACCAAACAATCCTCATCCAGGAATATACACATCCCATCCCTGGATATCCCATGAACCAAACACACCCTATGGCGCACCTGTGCCATCTTGTGGCTTTCCTTCCCTGCTCGGGGAACGTGGAATACCGTTACCAAACAAAAATGCTACCATGACTCAAAGGGTATTCTTGACTCCATGGAGACGGAGACACACACTTTTTGTTTGTTTTTGTGCCTTTTGTTTGGCTTAAATTACAGAGTAAAATGTAGGAGTGGTTCTTGAACTTATCTCGTGATGTCACTCAAATACATTTCTTAGTGTAGAACTTTCAAAATTTTATTTTTAAGGTTCCAAAATTTTCATTAATATAGGTCCAAATGAGCTCTAGCCAATTCACATGTTCGTCTCTAGTGTTCCATCTCCATGCTTTAGCTTTTCTCTAACTCCATCTCCATACTCAGTCCCTCCACTTTCAAGCTAATGTGATATCATGTGCCATCAACTCGTTATCCCTAACCCATGGCTTCATCCACATCAAAGTCCATGACATCACCAGCAATGGTGATGACAAGGCCAAAGCTAGTGGGTTAAGAATGATTGTTATGCCATTAAGTTCCTACAGGGGATTAAGAATGAGGTGTGCATCCAACCATTATGGCATGTGTTGTGATGTAAATTATATCAAGTTTTTTGGACCTAAGTGACTTACAATGACAAGTTCAAGGACCTGGATTACACAATAAGCCAAGCTCGGAGATCTAAAATAAGTATTTTGAAAGTTTAGGATCTAGATAAAACACAAAGACAAGTTCATGAACCTAAAAGTGCATTTTAAGAGTTCAAGAACCTCAATAACACCTTGAGACGATTTTAGGGATTGCACATTGTAAGTGCAATCAAGCTCTAAGTGGGTTTTGGTGATGTTGACCACATAATTAAAGGACTAATGACTTTGACAAGTGTTTGACAACATATCTTTAATCGTGGATGCAAAGAAACAAAGGAGGAGACCCCCAACTCAAATGGATGGCTTGCCACGGCTCCAAGAGCTAGTTTAATTCATTTTATATTTTGAAACTAAGTCATAGGACAAACCGTACTATCAAGGGGGATACTAATGGTGTGCTGGGTGGAACCAAGTGCTCAAAACTCCATCTACATCTCAAATAATCCCAGCCACAAAAGGCCAGCCGAGCTGA